CTTTGTTAATGAATGCTACAGCATACTGTAGCATTAACTATAGGGAACTGATAAACTGTAATAAATACTGTAGCATACTTGTACTTGTACTACAGTAAACTGTAGTGTATTGTAGTATAATATACCCTATAGTTGTAGAAAACCTAGCACAGTATTGGGTAAAGTCATTTGTTCATATTGTACTATTACCACAGCAACTATAGAATTACCACAACAAATTAATTCAAGTACTTTACTATAGTAAGGTTCAAAAACACTATAGTGTTTACTATAAATTACTATAGTATTTTTCCATTGGGAAACATATTAAAGTTCTGTCTTTAAGACAGAATCTCACCTTCTTTCATTTGTAGTTCTTAATATTTTCAACACACCATTGTACGAAATTTATTTAAATATGTATTTCACCAAGAAATGAACTCTGAAATCCTCTGGCATTTAAATTTTCTGTGCACTTTTGTATTTTTAGACCGCAGCGTGATGACAGGACCTTTATTTTGGTGGTGTGGTGTGACGTCATAAGACTGCGCCGCTCTCCTGCGTCTGTCGAGATTCAGCTGAAGAAAGGTTTGTGTTTTTAAGCATTTAAAGTGTTTAAATCAATTTCAAGTACTTTACTATAGTAAGTTTCAAAAACACTATAGTATTTACTATAAATCACTATAGTATTTTTTCAGGCGAAAGGTGAACCAACTCAGGGGCTGCTTTGGGACTGATGGTGCATTCAGTTCATGTCGATCAGATCGTATTTTAGTGTTGGGTCGTTCTTGAACGATTCGTTAATTTTGAACGAATCTTTAATGTGACTCGGGAAGAACGAGTTGTCTCGGGGAGTGATTCGTTCAGTCGTGCATGCGCAACATCCTATAGGTTTTGTACTGGAATTAGTCAAGTAGTTCACCTGGTTTGAGTCTTCGGGTTTTTCAAGTCGTTCGTCATCACGTGACAGACCCATAAGCTAAACTATGCAGTCTGAGCCGGAGAGAGACTTAATAATAATAACCAACTCTTTATTTCCTTTGTTACAACATTCAGTGTTATGGAAAAGAAACATCATGACAGAAATTTACACATTTATAAACTGTAAGAAGTAAAAAGCTACAACTTGAGACTAGAAACGCATCACGTAACTGTAAGAGTAAACAATAATGATAATAATAATAATAATAACTATGCACCCGTTTGTAAGGAAGCTTGTAAATTAACTAATTTCTCTATCCAATGCTGTCACGTGAAAAGACAAAAGAACGAACGATTCGAAAGACACGAGAGATGAACTAATCAATTCTCTTTCCGGCTCAGACTGCATTGGTTAA